TTGCAAACATTCTTGCGGGTGGTCAAGAGAAAAATGCCAACATCGGTGATTCATTGGGTAAGAGTTCCTTCGATTCAACCAGGTCATTCAATATTTCAGCGAGTATTCTGGGCTTATGGACCTTGTATAGATGGATTCAAGAATTGTCCAGGAGTTATGGTTGTTGATGGAACATTTCTTACTAGGAAGTATAAAGGAGTGCTACTCATGGCGAGCTCATTTGATGGACGGAAGAAGATTTTTCCAATTGCATTTGCCATAGTGGAGAGTGAGAATACTGATAGTTGGCCATGGTTCATAAGTCACGTTCAGGGTTTGACTGATCGAAATGATGTATGCATAATCTCAGATAGACATGCAGGACTCTATGAAGCCATGAATAACATCGGAAGAGGTTGGGAGTGGAGGTGGTGCATGCGACACTATGCAAGCAATTTGCAAAGGAAGACTAAAAGCAGAATTATGTATAATCAACTATTTCGAGTCGGTAAGCTTTCTTCATATAATTTTGTTACTTGTTTTCATGTAATTTTGTCATGAATTTATCTAACCCGTGTGGTGGTTTATTTTATTTTGTTAGCCGGAGAAAAACGGTTGGAGAAGTTTGATCGTCAAGTTGAGCAATTTAAGAAGGTGGCCGCTGATAGAAATATTTCATGTGATAACTGGGTGGATCAACATCAGATTCGTTGGAGTTTAGCACACGATAACTACAATGGTGGGCGTTGTTGGTCTATCCTGACATCCAACATGGCAGAAAGTGTGAATGGTATTTTCAAAGGTATTCGTGCACTTCCTATAGCTTCTCTTGTGCAACATACCTTTTGGCGATTGGTGGAGAAATTCGATAAGTACAGGTTGGAGACAGGAGCAGAAATTAGGAGTGGTCCTTCACAATTCTCCACCAAGTGCGAAGAGCTGATGAAGGCCTGGTCACAAAAGGCAGTTGGACATTCTGTGACAGCTCTTGATCGACGTCAAGGCATCTATGTAGTTCAGACTCCTCCCAACAATTTCAACATGACGGGGTCAAACACACTCACAGTACACTTTGACAACCCCAACCGGACGGGATTTTGCACCTGTGGTAAATTTCAAGGAAATAAAATTCCTTGCTCTCATGCCATTGCAGCTTGCAACCGAATGGGTGCTAGTGCGTATAGGTTTGTCAACAATGTCTACAAGCTGGAAACAGTGATGGCTTGTTATGGGACAAGTTTCGCACCTCTTGGTGAACCTAAGGGTTGGAAGAAGCATAATGACCCTACTCTCTATCCTAATCTGGACATGATTAGAAAGCCGGGGAGGCCAAGATCAACACGAATTCACAACGAGATGGATTGGCCAAGGGAGGGTTCATCACAGCAAGTGTGTAGCAACTGTAACCAAGCGGGACATAATGCATCAACCTGTGGTGGCCAAGCAAGTGGGAGTGGGAGCAACCGAAGAGGGAGTGGTGGCCAACGAAGTGCGAGAGTTGGTAGAAGAGGAAGAAGTAGAGGGAATAGACGTGGCTGAGAAGTTAGTTCGAATGTAGAAGTTGTTGTTTGGAGTTGTTGTTGTTTGAATTGTTTGGAGTTGTTGTTTGGAGTTGTTGTTGTTTGGAGTTGTTGTTGTTTGAAGTTGTTGTTGTTTGAAGTTGTTGTTTGGACTTTTATGAACTGAACTAGTTGTTGATGTTTGTTGGTTTTATATTTAAAGTCTCAATTTAGACAATAACACTAAGAACATCAGATTAAAAATAGTCCAAAATAAGTACATAACAATAAATAGTCTAAAGGAAGTACATAATAATAATGCATAGTCACAAAGAAGTACATAAATACATAACAATAAATAGTCCTCAACGACCACGACCACCACGCCGACCACCACGACGACCACCGTACTCTGCCACGAGATGGCCGCCAGTACCACACCTCGCTGGCCTCCTGTCTCGTGGAGGCAACTGCTCATCTCTCTCCGCCCCATCATCCTGATCCTGTGTGCCGAACATATCATCTACTTGAGACTGAACATGCTCATCCGGTGCACCCTCTCGTCGCTGCTGCTCATATGCCCAATGAGATGTCTGGAAGTCCTGAATCTGCAGACTGACACGCTCCCACTCATCGACGTCCAAATGTGGCAGGTCTGTACTACCTGATCCCATGTGCCCGCCTCCCATCGTAGTATGCTGCAGTGTGTGAAAGCTATCCTCTTGTGGCTGAAATTGAGGGCCAGAAGAACTGGTGCCTGCCTGAAATCCGGTAAAAGTAGGCCTGACTGGCTGGAATGTGAAGGTCGATGTAGGTCTGACGGGCTGACGATCTGAGTACCTCACTCCTCGAGGTACATCACGCTGCTCATGTCGCTGTCTCCTCCTCCTGGGCTCCTCTGTGAACTGTGGCGGTGGCACGCCCCAGGCCGATGACTGAGTCCTACGCTCTGGCCAGTTAGCTAAGCTGCGCTCATCGGGGTACCGCTGTATCGGCTCTGTATAAGGATGTTGGCGACCACTAAAACCTATAGCTGTAACCCCGGCCGCCAACTGGTCAACATACTCCCCCATCTGGTCATATGATAGCCCTCCTGATCTCATCCCATCACGTAAACCCTGGTGAACGGACTCCATGCAGTCGTACTGCAAATTTAAATGGAAAATATCAGAAATTTTATACATCTAAAAACAATTAAAACACAATTTTTAATTACTAAAAAAACTCACCGCTGCGTTCAGTGCAACAACTCTCCGTGTGCCTGAACGTCTAGTGACATCTCTGTACCACTCTTGATGCTCCGAGTGGTAAGCTAATTCCACGTCAGTGTAGCTCGTCTGCGCTACGAACTCATGTCGACGGTTCCACAACTCAATCGACTCGCTGGCTGCCTGTATGAACTGCTGTCCACGTGAAGGCCCATGCTGTCCCTGACGAAGAAAAAATCTAATCTCAGCCACGGAATGTGGAGGATGAGGCCGATCCTGAGTCATCCCAAACTTTCCGAGTACGCGATCTGGATGATGCCACATCTGCGATGAGAAGCAGATCAACGGAACAACTGCTCGAAACGTGTGTGACTGGATCACAGTACCGCTGTAGTCCTGACCTCTATGATAGTACGGACGCCACTGCACACAAGTATTGGTCACATAATTACTCCTAAATCTATAACAAATCAATTAAAACTATTCTATAAAACGAAATGATATATACTAACCACGAATGTCGTGCACTCGTCAAACCATAGCTTGTACAAGTAAAACTGATCTCCATGCTGACGGGTGTGGGCCGGAAGCCACCGAAGGCCACGTGGCACTGCGTCCTGAGTAGTCTGCTCACCCGTCACCGCATGTAGAGGTGATGTATGAGGAAACCGCTCCCACGTCCAGATCATCAGCAAGGCGGCCCATCCACCAAAGTCACCACCCAGTGAAGAAGATGCCGTCATCTGCAGCGCCGATCTACCCATCTCACGGTACAAGTAGGATAACACAGCTGCTCCCCAAGCAAACCTCTCCGCTCTGTGCCAATCCTCCACCAAAAGTAGGTACTGCAGGTGGACTGAACCTCCAGACCGATCGGAGAACAAGACACCTCCCATCAGAGATAGCGCATACGCTCTTGCAAACTGCTCTGTCGTCTGGGGTGATGCAGAAAGCGGCAGCTCATCGAAAGTCTCCCTCAGCCAAGAAATCCGGATGACGCCGCCACCAAGATCAGTAGGAGCCTGTCCTAACAGTCGAAGACACATACCCGACCAGTCCTTGTCGGGTATGTCTACTACAACGGCATTACCGTCGATCGCTAATCCGGTGAGTGTGGCAACGTCCTCTAGGGTGATCGTCACCTCACCGAACGACATGTGAAATGTCGATGTCTCGGGTCGCCAACGCTCTACGAGCGCAGTAATCAAACCCGGATCACCGGTAAGAGGAGCTAGTGGCAGAACACTAGACAGGCCGGCATCAACGAGATACGGCAGGTACAGTGGATTGTATCGAACTAAATTTCCAGTATGACGAATGTGGAATGGTCGATCACCAGCCTATAATTAATGCACAAAACTATATTAATTCAATTCATTCAATTCAACTAATATTTATATTTATATATCTAAACTAAACTTTTTCTAATATAATATAATCGTAACTTAATCTAATTCTATTCCTAGTTTAATTTAATTCCATTCGTAATTTAATTTAATTTAATTCTATTCTATTCTATCATATTATTCCGCTAATAAAACTATAGAAATAGTTTGAAAAAAACTTACCTCATTTGCCCAAAGTGCGTCAATCCGATGGTGACCATGCCCCCAAAGAAGTTCCGGATCCATCGGAGCATTATCGATCGTCGCAGGTGGTGGTCTCATCGAACAAGGATCGATAAGCCTAGGAACTGGAAAAAAAATATTAGAACATAAAAAAAATGTCGCCGGAAAAAAAATTGGCCGCCGGCGAGAATCCGACACTCACTCCTGTAGCGTTCGCCGCCGTCACCGCCGCCGCCACGCCGCCCTCGGCCTCTTCCTCTGCCGCCGGGGGCCTGCTGCTCGTCGTCGGACATCCCGCGTCGCCGCTGTTGGTGGGGCGCTGTCGCTTTCTTCCTCGCGCCGCCGCCTGGGTCTGAGGCGCTGCCGCCTTAAGCTGGGCGTCGCCGCTCGGGTTTTTGGCGTCGGCGCTGGTAGGGTGAAGGAGGGGTCGGGATGGAGGAGGATGAATTAAAAAAACAAAAGAAGCCAGCGACGGCGCCCCAGTCTCTGGCGTTGGCGCTATTTGAAATTTTCAAGACTGGGGCGTCGTCGCTGGCTTTACCTTTAAAAACTCTATTTGCTGAGTCTCGGGCGCCGTCGCCAACTTCCTTTCAAAAAACACAATATTATTGTAAATACTTTTAAAAACACTATATTCGTGGTAAATTTAAAAAAAAAATAATATTTAGGGAATTTACCCATTGAACTTTGGCCAAAGAATCCTACCAGAGAAACAGAAGGCCCTACAAAAGTGGCCCATACTAATACTGTAATTACATACGGTCTCAAAGTCTTTTTCCTTCTAGAGTCATCTGAACCTTTTCTTTCATTCTTTTACCTTGTTCTTTCTTTATTAGGGTTAGGGTTTTTAGCTTCGCCTGCTACTCCCCTTGCTTATCCCTCCCTCGTTGTATTCTCAGGCCAAGCGCCAAGGTCATTCCTTTTCCCCATCTGGGTCATTGGAGCATTGGAAATTTCGTCGTTCTTTCAATTGTTACTTCATCGCTTTTTGAGCTTTCTTCTGTTTCTGGATCTGAATCTGTTGCGGACCGTCAATGGAAGCCAGAAAGAGAGGGAGGCCTGAAGCCGGCGGCAACGCTAATGGTGGATTCAAGAAATCTAGACAAGGTCAGTCTTCCTATCACTTCGGTGATTTTCCTCCTCTTAGTTGGTTGACGCTGCGAAGCTCCGGTTAGGTTGGAGCTTATTTTGGGTGTCTGGTGAATTGTAATTACAGCAGATAGTTATGCTGGTTAAATTCTTTTCAGTTTGTTTCTGCATTTTTTTCGTGCGACGAACTGAACTTTGTATAGAGTTTGTGGTTACTATTGCAGTAGTATATCTGTTTTGAGCTTAGGGAAGTAATCTGCTAGTTTTGAATCATTGGTTACGATAAAGAAACGGTAGAAACAGAGATAATTTGCAGCTTTCAATTTCATGAAGCATACAATTCCGCAAACTAAACTCAAGTTGCTGTACTGATTGATTAATTCGAGTGAGCAATAGGATCGTATAGTCACTCTCAACTTTGTTGGGGAGTTATCGTCTCTTTAGTCTTTATGTTAGTGGGAGAGTGCTTGGAATGTTGAACTTATTGTGCAAGAATGAAGTTGATAGTTCTAGAACTCTGCTGAGTTGAACTACAATATCGTCTAGTTGAGATTAAAAAATCTTCCAGAACTTCAACTGAGAAACGCAATCAATGTGTGTTATCAGAAATGGACTCGTTATCAACCGGTGTAGGAAGCAAATCGAAGCCATGCACCAAGTTTTTCAGGTTCTAATTTCTCACCTAAATAATCATCTCAGATTGCACATTGTTGTATCACCAGTTAGTACAAACTTTAAATTTTACTATAATTATGACTTGAGTCTAGGTTTCTGCTTCTCTAATGAAATCGTATTATACACTTACAGGTACAAATGTGTAACTCTGTCATCATCAAATCAAGTTAACTAATTGAATTAGTTGGTGCTGTTTACCTGGATTATTATATCCCCAGGATATAGTTGATCACTCAGGAAGGCTAGGAAGCTATTTCTATGCTTGATTCAAACTTTATTTGAGGCCAAAGGATGTCTTCAGCTTTTGCGATAATATCATAAAGATGGTTTTAATTGTAAATGCTTCAAGTTTAAGTGCATAAAGCACACTATTGAATGCGGACTACTGGTAAGCTAAAATTCAGCAATATCTTAGGTAAGATGAATTGCATTGGATATATAAAATACAAGGTGTCTCTCCAGAAACTGTAGTTTTGCTGGTTTAGCAGTAATCCTTTGTTTTGTGATCTTAAGAAACCAAATGTTTGTCTCACCCTTCTATCAAGTAAGCATTTATTGTATCGAAGACGCAGTCCAGTATGTTGCTTTGGTATTTCAATTCAAGTCTTAAAATACAAGGTGTCTCTCCAGAAACTCTAGTTTTGCTGGTTTAGCAGTAATCCTTTGTTTTGTGATCTTAAGAAACCAAATGTTTGTCTCATTCTTCTATCAAGTAAGCATTTATTGTATCGAGGACGCAGTCCAGTATGTTGCTTTGGTATTTCAATTCAAGTCTTACAAGTCTAAACCTTGCATGCTAATTGATTCCTGACCACTAAGACTTTTCTAGTACACTTCTTATCTCTTTACTTCTGTGTTTAGCTGATTTGGCCACTTGTATACTTCTGTTGCAGTACTAACGGGTGCCCATTTGGTGAGAGCTGCCACTTCTTGCACTATGTTCCGGGTGGTTACAATGCAGTCTCCCAAATAATGAACCGGTCCTCCGCCCCTCCCATGTCGAGGAATGTCCCTACCCCACCACCTATGTCCTATGGCAACACACCGCCTGCTCCTCCCTATGGCTCTTCTTCCTCCCCTCCAATTAAAAACCGTTTGTGTAACAAATACATCAGTGCAGAAGGATGTAAATATGGTGACAAATGCCATTTTGCACATGGTGAGTGGGAGCTTGGAAGGCCAGTTGCTCCATCTCATGATGATCCTCGGATGATGGGCGGGCCTATGCCTCCAATGCCGGGGCGTATGGGAGGGATGCGAATGGACCCACCACACCAACCAGGCCCGGTTCCCGGGTTTGGCGATACGACAACTACCAAAGTCAGTGTGGATTCTTCCCTTGCAGGAGCCATTATCGGCAAAGGTGGCGTGAATTCCAAGCAGATATGTCGGCAGACAGGGGTGAAGCTTTCGATCAGGGACCACGAGACAGACCCCAACTTGAGGAATATTGAGCTTGAAGGGACCCTTGAGCAGGTTGGCAGAGCTAGCGCAATGGTGAGAGAGCTAATCGGGAACGTTGGTCATGGAGGTGGACATGGAAGAGGAGGCTCAGGAGCTTCTGGGGAAAAGCAGCATCCTGGCAGCAATTATAAGACGAAGATATGTGATAATTTTAACAAAGGGACTTGCAGTTTTGGTCAGAGATGTCACTTTGCTCATGGTGCTGCTGAGTTGCGGAACTCGGGTGCAGGAGGTATGTGAAAATGCCAGTGGTTGTTGTCGACATTTTTTAGCATATAGCTAGGTTAGCTTGGCTGGCTGAGGTTGTGTGAAAGAGAACCAGACATGGGTTTATTAGGTAGCTCTGCTTTTTACTGTGTCAGGGGGATAACATTCGTTAGTGGAAGAGACATGGTTGTTCATACCAGCATTCTTTTTACCGTTTTTGTATTCCCATGTTTAAGCTAGTGCGTCGCATCGTTTAGTGAACTTCCTCATGTGATTTCTTGTCGAATTTGTTTTCATTTTCGACCTTTTGACAGATGAACCATCTCATGTAGTAATAAAGATGCAAACTATCGGGTTACACATGCTGTGGAGATGACAATAAGATAACCCAGATTTCCGGTTGGCAATAATAATTAGAGCTAGTACCAGAATACTCCTTTACTCTGCTTACCAAGCTTGTACCCTATTTAGCTTGTTGGCCCGCTTGAGCAAGCGAGTTGTGGCTATTTGTGACTGTTTTAATATGGTTTAACATAGATATATAGATATATGAAAAAAGATGCATTCGGTGACATGCAAGTCACCATAACTTAGAGAAAACGGTCGATCTCTTTTACTTTGTAGCCGACTACTCTCAACGAAAATGGTCGACTTCTTCCATCAAGTGGTCTATCGTTCCCGGAAATAGGTCGACTTGATGACACACTTACCTTCAAGTGGTTGACCTTTTCGACCAAATGGTCGGCCACATTCCAAGAAAATGGTTTATCACTTCCACCAAGTGGTCCACCACTTGAGCCAATCGTTCTAGCGCTAACGAAAATGGGTCGACCTGAAGACACACTTACCTATTCCAAGAAAATTGTCTACTACTTCCAGCAAGTGATCTACTACTTAAGGCAACCGTTCACAAGACAATGATAGGACAAAAAAACAAGCAAACTTAGAATTTGAAGAAAAAATAAAAGTCCCTATTAGAGTAAGTCAAATATAAGAAATAAATAAGCATAACATTTTTTAAATCGACGGGAGAACAATCACTCAAAAAACTTGTAATCTATACTTGCATCCTTTGTACTAATTTTAAAGCTCTTACTAGCAAGCATATCTATTATTATTGCACAAAATTATTTACGATTATATCACTAGCAATGGTTCATCAGGTAGACCGGTTATTGCAACCTTGCTGCTCACCTTCGTCCGGTTCAATATAAAGTATAAATACACATTGGAACCTCATCAAACTAATAGTCTAATAGTACTCTTCTAGCGTTGGCTTAATCGCCATGGTAGCCTCCACTGTATGGTATAGCGGCGTCAGTTGTGTAGCCATAATTTTATATAAGGTAAATTATTTTTTAAATATTGAAAGAAAGTTTAAATCATTGTTGTGCCCAGTAGTTTTCATATTTATAAGAACTTGCATTCATATAATATCAATCTCAATATATCTTATGAAATAATCATTCGTGATTTTGTCAACCATTTAATACTAAAGAATGTTTTCTCGTGGCTCATTGCAAATATCATTTCACCAATTGCAAAGGAGCCTTAGTTAGCAACAATGATAAGTAAGTTCTTTCAATGACCATGATTCGAAAATAACTCCGAAGTCTATATAGTTTTAAATAACATCTAGCCTAGTTTCACATCATAATATACCTACAATAATCTAGTTGACGTTCAAAACCTGTTATATTATTTTTCAGAGAATTCATTATTAGGATAAAAAGAATCTAGTGAGTTTCAACAAAAGGAGGTTTTGGTGATAGATGATGAATATATTAAGAATTAGAGGCTTGGAGGATGAAGTTATATTTTGTACTAATATTATTTATGGAGAAACTAGAATGCATTATATATATAATTTGATAGCTAAATTCATAATTTGATTATTGTTTGATGGTAGAAATATTGACGAATTTTAGGTAAAATTCTCACAGACATGTAACTATTGTATTTACACATTGATATTATCTCCCGAGCCAAGATGGATCCCGGGACCCACCTTGGTATGCACTAGCTTTGCCACTGAGCGGCGTAATCGAGAACAAATGGCGGAGAACAGGGGCGAGAAACGATTGATAAGGATTAATGATGCCATTCACCATGGGCAAGGCATTCCATAGATGCACAAAACCCAAGCTGAACCCTTAGTGAGGGCAAGTCTGTAGAATCCAACGCAGACAGTGAGGGCTGAGGATACCAGCATCCGAGAGGTAATACAGTATGTATGAGGATTTTTAGTGTGATTTAATCCACCCATGCTATAAAAACAAAAACAAAAAGGTTTCTTGTTGGGGAGATAAATTCACTAAGTGACCGGTCTCACATCATTAATGACAATCTTATAAATAATGAATCAATATATAAAAGTGCAGGTACAAATTATAGTTGTACCATATTATATAGGTACATGTTTGTGTTGTACCATTGATGAATATGTTCCAAAAGTGTAGGTACAACTCCAAGTTGTACATAGCGTGTAGGTCCAATTTTAGATTATACCATAAAGAGATTTTTTAAAAGTGTAGGCACAACATAAAGTTTTACCATAGCGTGAAGGTACAGGTTTGAGTTGTATCATAGATGTTTTTTTTGGAAAGTGTAGGTACAACTTTGTACCATAGCGTATAGGTAGAAATTTGTGTTGTACCATAGAGAGTTGTGTTCGAAAGTGTAGGTACAACATAAAGTAAATCTTAAATTTTATTTAATTTGGCATGCTTGGGTCACACAAATTATTAAAATTTATTAATATGTTTAAGATTTACAATAGTGAATCTTAAATTTAATTTAATTTGGCATGCTTGGGTCACACAAATTAACAGCCACTCAATTTAGCTATCGATGGATTTAGCTTTAAGACTAGTGGTTGTGTGAGGATGCGGCTTTGATTTCGAAGTGCACATCTTAAGATGCCTTGTCAAACACTGGGGGTGCTCAATTAGTACGATATTGTCCGCTTTGGGCCAAGCCCGCACGGATTTACTCTTGGGTGTCCTCCCCTAAAGTCCTCGTACTAATTGGGCTAGGTGGACACTAATATACAAGGGTTCCTTCCCTTGTATTACCAATGTGGTACTTGGATTGTCCCATAACAATGCTCCCCTCAAGACAAGGACCATGAACTTTGTGTTCTCACCTCAACAATTATCTTGATCTACCATACGCCTTGTATCGATGGGCTTCTCGGTACAAGGACTTTACCAGACGCAGAACTCTCTTTGATCTGCTTCCCAAATGCGGAACTCTCTTTGATCCGCCAAGCCCAAACATGGATCTCTCTTGGATCCACCAAACCAGACCCAGATCTCAAATCCCGAGGTCACCGAATGAGGGTCCCACCAAACTGACGTCCACCGCCCCGGATCCGCCAAACTAGGCTCTAATACCACTTGTCATAATCGAGCCGCTCAATTAGTACGATATTGTCCGCTTTGGACCAAGCCCGCACAGATTTACTCTTGGGTGTCCTCCCCAAAAGTCCTCGTACTAATTGGGCTAGGTGGACACTAATATACAAGGGTTCCTTCCCTTTATTACCAATGTGGTACTTGGATTGTCCCATAACAATCCTCCCCTCAAGACAAGGACCATGAACTTTATGTTCTCACCTCAGCAATTATCTTGATCTAGCAAACACCTTGTATCGATGAGCTTCTCGGTACAAGGACTTTACCAGACGCAAAACTCTCTTTGATCTACTTCCCAAATGCGGAACTCTTTTTGATCCGCCAAGCCCAAACATGGATCACTCTTGGATCCACCAAACCAGACGCAGATCTCAAATCCAGAGGTCACCGAATGAGGGTCACACCAAACTGACGTCCACCGCCCCGGATCCGCTGAACTAGGCTCTGATACCACTTGTCATAATCGAGCCGCTCAATTAGTACGATATTGTCCGCTTTGGGCCAAGCCCGCACGGATTTACTCTTGGATGTCCTCCCCAAAAGGCCTCGTACTAATTTGGCTAGGTGGACACTAATATACAAGGGTTCCTTCCTTTGTATTACCGATGTGGTACTTGGATTGTCAAATAACATGCCTCCATAATAAAACTTTCCCATTCTTATCAGGGTTGCAGCAAAAAAAAACTTCATGCAATGGTTGCATTTAACCTTGACCCCCTCCTCTAATTCAACTTAAGTGAAATTCTCCCAAAATTTTCTTCTTTTACCCGTAACTTCTACTGCTTCTGAAAGAAGAAACGAAAAGAAAAGGGATTACATAATTAAACAAGCAAGAGGCGACTAACATGATAACATGACCGCTGAAGTTTCAACGAAGGAATTTACTTAATTTGGGACTAATCCTACATGTTTTTTACTCTTTATTCCCCTTGACTAATTGTTAGTCACAGTTAAATATCGTGAACAATATGACAATTTATCTTTCTAAATTTATCCGGATTTGAAAAAATGAATTAAAAAAACTTTCGACTCCCTATTGTTCTAAAAAAGGAAATTTTAATTACATAAAATTTCCTTCTTACTCTTTTTTTTGGTAAACTATTTCCTTCTTCTCCTGATCACATAATTCCAAATTTGGAGACTGGAGTAAAATAATTCCACAATTTTATATCCAGTTACAATGGGACCCATTCCAAATTGCTTAACCAAAAATTATGGCAAATAATTTGGCACTCCGCCGTTTTGTACCAGCCACCAAAATCCAAAAATTTGCCTCTATTAGATTATAAAATTTTGACTCTCCCGCCATCTGTCTAAAAAATTTGAAAGTGCCTTACCAAAAGATTCCATTATATATTGACATGCCGCTTCAAGACCCCAAAATTTCAGCTAATACAATTTTGAAGTCCCGCCTTCCACTCTTTTGGTTTTCTACTATCTTTTTAACTTTATCTACATATAATGTTTATATACTAAAATATACTATGTAGTATTATTCGTGTCAACTGGAAGGGTTCGGCTTGGATTAATCGAGATCGAGTTAGTTGGGGTGGAGGTCAATCGAATTACGGGTTAAACGGGTTGCGAGTCAATCGAATTACGGATCAATCGAGTTGCGAATTGTCGATCCTTGACTTTTAGTCAAATCAAATTACGGACAGATTCAATCTTCAATTACCAAAGCAGGATCTATGGTTCGCTTGCTCCTGCGGGAATATTCTTTGCTGAGCTTGGTGATGGGGCTTGGTGTCCTCAAGGACCACCCAACGAAGAATTCCCCCTGCTTTGTTTTCGCTCCGCTCGTGCGCGGCACTCCTTGCTCGCGGAGCGGCATACTGAAAATAAAAAGAGTCGTCTCATTATTCTTTTATTTTTAGTATTACTCATTTCCGTTTTCATTCGTTAATGTGATACTTTTGAAAGACCTTTCAAAAGCCTCTTAGTTACCCGGGACTTGGAGTTGAGGATGCTGCTCATAAAT